GGCTCTGTGGTGGCAGTGGGATGTTTTGTACACAGTGGCCATCACCGCTGGCATGGGCATCCCCATAGGTAAGCAGCAGTGGCTGCTGTGTGACAGTGGTGACGGCCACTGCGTACAAAACATCCCACTGCCGCCGGAGTTGTAAGAGAGGTACGTCTGAAGCCGTCTGCCACTTAACCCACCAGAGATGCACTGAGACTCCTGACCTCCTCACCCTGTGTGGAAAAGACCCTTGAGGGGAACCTTTGAAGGAACCATCACCACCAGGCTGTGTGTGAATGTATCACACTAGCAAATGGCTACCCACAGTCATAACCATGACTGGAGTGCAAGGCCAAAGCAAAATAGATGACAGGTCTCAGAAGGAGATCCAGAATGAGGGCAAGATGAGTGAGGACCCATGAAAGTCTGGTGCCGTTTGGGACATGGGAGGAGGAAATGGTACCCCCACAATCAATGTCAGATCAGTGCAGAAGCACATGAGTGAGGTTCAGCCACCTGTCCCACCAGGAGATCCAGGGCAGCAGCAGCGCTCCTTGCCACCTTTGCAAGAGAGGATGCTGTCCCAGCACCTGCTTGTGGAAGGAGGACTCTGTTCCTGCTACCTGGTCTGTTCTGACTGAGTTTCCATCCCAGGCCCTTGCCTTTTCTTATGACAATATAAGCTTAAAGAAATCTTTACTGTATGCAGTAATTGTTAAAACACTATACCTCATGACTTTAAGGTGCACTTCTCTGTATTGGGTGGTAGGACTTTAAACAATTTGCATACTTTGAATCACTGTCTTCTTTAGTAAGTTTCTGTTCTAAACACATTCCTATTGTAATTATGCAGTGTGCCTCAGTTTCTCTGACTAGCTTGTACTGGGAAAAGAACAGTTAACAGAATCTCTGCTAGGTCCCAGAGCTGCTTGTCCACCTGATGGGATAAGATGGGCTCCAGCATTACAGATAACTGAATAGCCTTATTGATTTTTCAGCAGGGTGGGACTGGAGGTGATGACCAGGAGGCATCAAGAGAAGCAGACTGAGATAAGCGTCACAACCTGATAGGGCCACTGAACAGGAGAACTGTCATTCTGAAGTTGTAGCCAGATGTTAAGCGGGAGTCTACTGAGAAGTAGATTCCTATTCCCCTTCCTTCTCCCTCCCCCATATATACATGTGGAGCCAGTATGCAGTCTTGTTGATGCTGACTCCACAATGTGGCAGTTAAGAGCAGTCTGATGAAATAGATCGGGCCTAGGAGCTGGATAATCTGTGGAGGGTCTCAAAAGCCCCAAACAGGTGAACAACTTAAGGGGCTTAGGGTTGTGTAGAATGAAGAAAGAACAACTGAGCTAGCTTTGGGGTACTCAGGGCTATATAGACTGGATTGTAAAGAGAGGTACTACTTAACCTTTTGGAGCAGAGCAGGGTCTTTTTGCTCTGAGGTGTTCATTCCCAGCTATATGCCTGTACTGAAAAAAAATGTCTGCTTTGCTGCTTGTAACTTTGGGGTCCAGTTCATTTCTGTATTGGGAAGTAAAGCCCTTCCCTTGGGAGCAGACCTTGGAGGTGCAGGGACTTAGATAGTCAGGGAGGGTCTGAGACCTTAGATAGTCTGGGAGGGTCAGGGACCAAATGGCTGGAGTCTTAGAGTTATAAGAAGCCAGGTTCTCCCCCACTCTAGAAGCCATCTGTATGCTGGCTTTAAGAGGGTGTAAGGGGCCAGGTAAAGCTGAGGAAGTGCCCTCTGGGCAACTCTGTGACTTATGCTATTTTCCAAATAGCAAATAAGCTGAACCCAAGGGCGTCATTGACTTCCACCAAAAGTGAAACTAAGCATAATAAGCTCAATGGAACTGAGAGCTTCATAATTAGATTTTTAGCATCTTGTGAGATGTTGTTTTAGTGCAGTGCTCTCCAGTCTTCTTAAGGTGAAGATCACTTTTTGAAGGAAAAGGCAACCCAGGATCTACCGCACTGCCTTCCCTGTCCCCTGGCCCAGCAGGTGGGGGGAGGGGGAAAGGGCAGGCAGAAGCAGATTAAGGTGTACTTCGGCCCTGGGCAAGCACAAAATTGGAGGCCCCCTCCTGCAATGGGAACTGGCCTGCAGCGGGGAGGGGCCTGTTCCCCTCCTAGTGCTGGTGGGGGAGGCTGGGTGGACCCACTGGGCTGGGGGGGGCACATGCCTGCCTCTTCTCCTTGCTCCCTGCCTCTGCTATGGCCGAATGTACACACATGCGCACACACAGGTGTGCACAGACACAGCCGCGTGCACTCTACTCTCACTCTCTTAACATGGACACATGCCCACGCACAGACACACAGATGCACGTGTGCACAGAGACGCAGACAGATACATACATGAAGATGCAGACAGACACGCATGCACTCACACACTTGCACATACACTGCTTCCTCTCACTGGACCTCCCCTTCCCCCACTCTCGATCACACAGAGGCAGCCCTCCACCACTCCCCTTCCCCCGTGCGAGCCACCTGTGGCTCAGTCTCGCTTCATGCCCAGCCCCTGTTACACTGAGCTATAGGGAGCTGCTGCCTGGCTGTCCTGTGCAGAGGGCTGGGCTGGGCTGGGTCAAGCGCCATGCCATTTCTCTTCAGGTGGGTGGTGGCACTGGGAAGGGTGGCTGGGGGGGGGCTAAGATGAATTTTGGGGGCTATAGCCCCGAAGTCCCTCCCAGCACCGCAACCTTAAAGGTGCAGCACTCCTGGCTTGGCCCAGCTGCAACCTCCCCCCCCACCCAACAGGTGGGGTACAGCTCTCCCAGCCTGGCTCGTCCCCTTCCCCCCCAGACTTGGCACCACCTGGCCTGCCCAGCCCCTCCCCCAGGTGTGGTGTGGCTCTCCAGGCTGGACCCCAGCCCTGTTCCCCCCCCCGCCTCATTTGGTAGAGGGACCTGCTTCCAGCTCCCATGAAGGCAAATGTGAAAGCTGCAGTTTTAGACTTGGCACCAAAAATGGGTGGCGGGTTTAAAACTGTGGCTTTTACTTCTCTGCTGATGAGGATCCTGGGGCAACTGCCTTGCCCTACGCACAGATTGAGGGGGCATGTGCCCCCCGGGCCTCTACTGGGGAGCGGGCAGCAGTGAGAGCCCCCCACGCACCCCTGGATGACTTGCCTAGGCTCCAACCCTCCTCTGGCATGGCCTGGCCTAGCTGGAGCCCCATTCACCTGGTGGCAGGGGGCATGGAGGGGGATTGTCCCATTCTCGCAGCCCGGCCCTAGTGGCAGCCCAGCCACATGCATCCCGCTGCTCCCCGTGTATGTACTCCCGCTCCCAGTCATGAAGCCTCTGATGATCAGTCTCAGTCTGGGGGGGCTCAGTCCACCCAGATTTAAATACTGTCAGAGGCTCCCTAATTAACCAATCATGATCGACTGGTTGGTGACCACTGTTGTAATGACTGACCAGGCAGCTGTGGCTTCTCCCATATGCTCTTCCTTGCAAATGTTGCAGCTCCAACAGAAGAACCCGGAAGGCTTCATATTAGAACAGGACAATCAGCACTCTTCCCTACCTACTCATACTCCTGGCATAAGATTCTTAGAATTTTTAATATAGGGGTTATGTGCTTCCCCAGGCACAATTTCTGCATGCATTGTGGGCACTGCCTGCTCCCCTGTCTTGAGGCACACTGCATCCCAGCCAGCTGCCCTGTGGTTGGGTGGGGTACAGTGGAGCTCCGTGTGTCTCGGTGCAGGGGCTCTATAGTGGAGCCCCCATGCCAAGGCATGTGGAGACAGGGGAGCAGCCAATCCAGGGCTGCCTGCTCCCCAGTCTTGAGGCACCCTGTGGCCCAGCCAACCAGGGAATGGCTGGGGCTCAGGGTGCCTCAGCATGGGGTCTCCACAGTGCACGGAGACAGGAGACCAGGTAGCCCTGGGCCTCCTGCTCCCCAGTCTCTGTGTTTGTCCTAGTGCTTGCAACTTTGGCATGGTTTGCACCACTTTTTTCCTAGGGGTGGTGGGGTTTGTTTTTTTTTGCTACTGTGAATTCCTGGCAAATTGCAGCACTACAAACCACACATATCTGCATGTCTGGATCTAGCCTATGGTGCCACCCTGCCCGAACCTTTCACCATTGTTAACATTGATTCAAGGGGAAGCATAATATGTGTGAAGTTGTGGGGAAAGACCTGGGCCATCAGACTCCACCACTGTACCCTGCCCCTGCTGGGAGTGGGGAGGCCTTGCTGCCATGCTCCTTTCCAGCACCCCCCACTCCCCCCGATACTCAGATACACATAGCATCTAACCTGCTAGTACCCAGCCCCACCTTTCAGCATCTGACTTGTACTAGAACTGGGTCTGCTGGCTGGTGCCAGAGGGTTAAGGACGCATTGTGGGCTTGCTTCTGAAGTGGAAAATTGACAGGCTTGAAAAGAAAACAGATATGCTCTTGTATCTCCTGCCTGAAATCTTGACAGCAGAGAGGACAGTTGTGGGGGGTGGGGGAGTCCTCTGGGACAGCCAGTGAATCAGTTCTTAAATGTGCTTCCTGGTGCTTTCAGCTGTCATTGGGATGCATGCACTAGGGCTCCCTTCGGTGAGAAGGGACAGCTGGTGACTGTCGGTGCTGTCACCAGTGCAGGCTGTCTGCAGAGCACCTAGCCAGGCCTTATAATGCTTGTACAGTTCAGTACAGTTCTGTACTGCTATGGTTTCCAGCTGCTCAAACTAAACTGCTAAACTTCTAGTGGTTCATTTGAACACTTGCACACATTATGAGCTATGTAAAACTGCATACTGGTATTTCATTCTCCCTGTATACAGAATGAGCAACTATCTACTAACAGTTGTACCAAGCATTTTTGTTTGTTTCTCAGTAATGGGAGAAGGTAAATGATTTGTTTTGGTAAATAATTAATAACTGAAAAAAACCCCAAACCTGGTCAGCAGGCAGTATTGTTTAATTTGAATAATATAGATGTTTATCTTGCAATAAAAGGGCCTGCTTATCTTAATTCTGGCATTTCCTTGACAATCTTGGCACTGATATGAATGAAGTATACCATCTCTTATACAACATGTTGAAGGACACCAGTTCTGAAAACTATTTCCTGTCAATTCTGCAACACCTTTTACTCATCCGGAATGATTATTATATTCGGTAAGAGTGCTCTGATGCTATATTCTTTTTTGTCTAAATTTCAATGTCAGTGTGTTTCCATGGGGTAACGCAACAAATTCACTTGCTTGAGTGCAGTGGCTCTTGATTACTTGCGCCTTTTTAAAGGTAAATATTTTTCCAGAAATATTCTTTTGTTATTTTCTTGTAATCTTACAACCATATTTTGTGTTCTGGATAAGACCTTCGGTTCGACTTCAGAAGATTTTTTTCTGCTCATCAGTGCATTCAGGTGAAGCATAATATTTGTTTCTGGTAATGAAATTTGATTAATCTGAGCAAAATGGGGCAGTTGGGCAGGGGGTGCCATATGCAGGTATATGCACATGGCTGCCAGGCAGCCTGGAGAACAGCTCCCACAGGTAAGTTGCGGGGGGGGCAGGAAATTGAGGCCCCCATCGGGAGGGAGTTGGGCAGGGCTGGGGCTTGGGGCCTGGAGCCCGGGGTGACAGTGCATGGCTGCAGGGCCCCAATGGGTATGGGATGGGGCCACGGGTGGCTCATCCAGGGGGGTGAGGCTGGCTCCCTGCTGCTGTGCACAGTCCTGGGGGGAGCAGGGGAGACCTGTGCCTCCCAGATATGTGCTCAGGGTTGGGGCTGGGGCTTGTGCAGGCTGCCCACTTTGGCTCAGGTTCCTGCCTTGCTGCTTTCCATTGGGGTCTTTGCAGCTGAGCGGGTACGACCTGGCATTGTGGGGCCATATGAGGCAGCTCTTTGCTTCTGTGAGCTGTGTACTGCCCTGGTGAGGTATCTCTTGCGTGCACGGCAGCAGTGAGGGTCACAACCCCATGCCACTGCCCCCACTGCAGCCACATGGGCAGGGGATGCCTTGCCACAGCAGCACAGAGCTTGCCTGCAGCAAGGAGCTTCTCCAGGAGGCCCTGCTGTTCTCTGCAGTGCTGGGTTGCACTTCCTGGGTTGAGGAGGCCCCGGGGGAAGGCAGCAGGACGGGGAGCCTGAGCCTGCAGCAGGAGCCCGCCCCCACTCCTGCCCTGTACACAGATCTGGGGGCACAGGTCCCCTGAACCCCCTGAGATTGCACACAGCAGCAGGGAGCTGGCCCTGCCTGAGCTTGTGGCAGGCAGGCAGTGGGGGAGGGGAGGGAGGGGGCATCCAGGGCTCAGGCACAGCTGCAGGGGCAGGGGGAGTGAGGGGCACTGGCAGGGCTTGTGGGGGCTGTGCCTTGGGAGTAAGAGGCCTGGACCTGTGTCCTGGTGAGCTAAGGGGGCAGGGGGAGCTCTGGTTTTCCATGATAACAAACCCAAAAATCAAATACCAAATTTTATAGGTATTTAGAATGTATTTTATTATTGTGATTGAGGCACTAGTAGGCTTCCAAATTGCTTTATAATTGAAATATATCAAGAAAACGTTGTGTTCAGCTGATATCTATATATCTATATATATATCTATCTATATATATATATATAGTGGCCTTTAATTTTAATCACGGAGTTTGTCATTTTTTTATCACATATTACGGGGTTTTTTTGTTTGGTTTTTAAATCAGAATTTGCAATTTTTTTGTTGGGGAAAACCCTGCTCTTAATACATCTCCACTAAGTAGTAGTCAGACCATAATTCTGGCATCCTCAATTTTTTGAGCGTTGCACTTTACAAGTTTTAATATCATCCTCAGTGTGCTTTTTGTCATGGGAAGTGGTCTTATTACTACATGGTAAGAAAGTTTAGCAATCATTGGCAGTACCTTGATTTGTTAGTGTATAGAGACGCATGGCAATTTTATCATCATCAAAGGATGCTGCTGTAAGATGGTAAGATGCAACTATTAGATTTTCGTGATTCTGTAGCAATGAAAGTATGACAGAATTGCTTCAAATTTAATTCTGTTTCATTCAAGGTAAAGTTAAGGTGATTTAGCTAGCTTGCATCTCTATAGATTCATGCAGACAGTTGCAACATAACATAGCTCCTCTCCCCTTTTGACATGGCTAAAATGTACATTTGCCCATATCTTTAGAAAATGTTTGAGGGTGTGACACATGAAACAGGTACTGTGTAATCAAAGATGTATATCATCTCTGTATTCTGCTGTGTTGAGAGTTTTACTTCCTTACAATCCTATTAATATATAGCTGATTAAACTGAAACTTTACAGAATAATAATTTGAAATAATTGATACCTTGGCCTTGTATCTGTGATTCCCTGGCCTTGGATGTAGCCATGTGTGCTTATGAGATACTCTTGTGGTGCTTTCTCACTTTCCAACTGTCCGCCTGCCCCAAGCCCATCCCTGCTGTCTGACCACTGAGAAAAGATCAAGATGCTCAAAAGGTCATCTCCCTGACCTGTGGTGCCTTGTATATATTTGTCTCACCCAGGTCTTGCCACACTCTTGACTGATCATGCACGCAGCAAAGACGGATTTCCCCCTTTCCAAAAAGAGTCCCATTAACAATGACAATAAGTGAGTTAAAAAGATAACAAAAGCATTTGTTATTAAACCAAGAACAAGAAGAAGAAATCAGTAAACATCTGTTGAGAATAAGGGCAGATATATAAGAATAAACAAACAAAAAGAAATGATCACAGCAATAATCTGTTGTTACCCTGTATCTTAAATCCAAAATGCAGTTTCTACCTAGCTCAGCAGGTTGGAAAGCAGTTTCTGTCCTTCACCTTTCTGCCAGGGACTCCTGTAGTTTCTCCTATTAGCCTGCTTTACTCAGCAGGCTGGCTGAAGGCCTACAGCCTCCCCTGTACCTGAAGACTACAGGCTACTTTCTCTTGAGGCCAGGCTTAAGTATAATTTCTTATCTGGCCACTTACATGTCACCCATCAGATTTTCAGGAAGACCATGCTATGTGTATATATTCTGCCCCCCCACACCCTAAAACTGCATGCGTGTAATATAGCAGAAATATTTCCTGATTTAATGAAGATGAGAATATTTGCAACCTTCAGACATGGATATTGCTAATCCAGGACACCACTAATCCTAAATGTACTGTTTTTTAGGTTGCCCACTTTGAGAAATGTCCTTCCAGGTGGTGTTCTTTTGTGTGTTTTTTTTTTTTTAAATGTAAATTTGTCGTTGTCTGGAAAGGCCGGTCTGGATGAACAGCTAAAGTTAGGTGTTAAATTTCAGTGATTTACTTATTTCAAGTGTGAATATGTGAGAAATTTAAGAGTCTTGGTTAAAATACAGAGACACACCAAAATTACATTCACGTTAAATACCACAATTCATGAACAGTTTAAATACAGTTTAGCACTACCTATATGTAGAGATGACACATTTTGTATCCTTAAAACACTCAAGAAAACATGTAAAACCCATGAAGCCCCTCTTCACCCAGGCTATAGTAGGGTTTGTGACAATACCCTATTTTTCAGATTATACCTTCATAATCTATATAAGGCAAGCAGTAACTTTTTTATAAAAGTAATAGAATGGGACATGTTGAAGTTGAAATAGAAAGAGGCATTGCGGATTGACATTTCATTTCAAATAATATTTGGCTAGCTCTTTGATAGTCACTATACAAATGAGTATTGTATGAATCTAGCAGTAATGTAATAGACGTATTTTTCAGTTCTTTAGGCTCATACCTTTTTTGGGGGGGGGAGGGGAAGAAAAAAGCATGATTGACTGAAACTGCGACTAGGAAAATGCTCAACAGGACCCATATTCAAATGGGGCTCAGGGGGCGAAGCCCAGTTCGCAGCAGTAGCCGCCTCCACCACACACAGGTGGGGGGGGGGCATGTGCCCCATGGGGCCTCCACCAGGGTGCGTACAGCAGCAGGATCCCCCTCTGCCCCTAGACAAGCCACCTGGGCTTGATCCTCCCATCACCCACCTAGCTGGGGCCCCACTGACCTTATCTCTGCTCCTGCCTCTGTCCCACTCTGTCCCTCACTGTGGGGACCTCAGTCTGGCCCCCGCCTCTTCCCTCCCCCACAGACTAACCTGCTGGGCTGGGTGGGAGGACGGGGGCGCACACACGCATGCATGTGTGTGTTCGGTCCCCTCCACCCCTCCAGCCTAAAATCGACTACAAGTGGCTCTGCGATTGACCACTAGTCTAGCTCTGTACTCATTGGAATCACACCCTTCAGATAGTCGAAGTCTGCTATTAAATCCCCTCTCAGTCTTTTCTTCTCTAGATTAAATAAGAGAAGACTGTCTCCTTGCCACTTCCCCTCAGCCTTCCCTGATAAGCCATGTGCTTAGCCCCATAACCATTTTTGTTGCCCTCAGCTGGACTCTCTCCAGTTTATCCACATCCTTTCTGTGGTGGAGGGTCCAAAACTGGACACAGTACTTCAGATGTACCTCAGCACCTTCAGGTGCATCCCATCCAGCCCCGTGGACTTGCGTACGTCCAGCTTTTCTAAGTAATCCCTAACTAGTTCTTTCACCACTGTTGGCTGCTTACCTCCTCCCCAAACTGTGCTGTCAGGTGCACTTGTCTGGGAGCTGAGGTGAAAAAGAAATTGAGTGATTTAGCCTTTTCCATATCCTCTCTTTCTAGGCTGCCTCTCCCCTTCAGTAAGGGCCCACACTGTCCTTGATCTTCCTCTTGTTGCTGATATACTTGTAGAAACTCTTCTTATTACCCTTCACAGCCTTGCTAGTTGGAACTCCAGTTGTGTTTTGGCCTTCCTGATTTCATCCTGGAATGCCTGAACAATGCTCTTATAATGACTCTATACTTACTAAATTGAACAAAAGAAAATCTAAGTCACTCGGAGTTAAAAAATGGCAAATTCTCTGATAAAAATCACAGATTATCTTATTTAAAAACTCCCCAAAATCCACGATTAAAATGAAATGCCACCCCCCCACACACACCCCACCCCCCTTGACACATTGTGTGTGTGTATCGAACACAATGTTTTATTGATATATTTATCATTTTGAAGCAATTTGGAAGCTTACCAGTGCCTCAGTCAGTGTAATAAAATAAATTCTAAATACCTATAAATTTTGGTGTTTGATTTGGGGTTTTTTATCATGGAAAACCAGAGCTCCCCCTGCCCCTTTTGTTCACCAGGACATGGGTCCAGCTGTGGCTGTGCTCTCCATACTGCTTTGTGGTGCTGAGCATCCCTGATACATTGTTATAAAAGTAATAGAATTGGACATGTTGAAGTTGAAATAGACATTGTGGAGTGGGTACGCCTCACCCTGCACCACCTACAGCCCCCTGCCCTCCCCCAGTCCCGCCTGAAGGGGCCCCCAGGTGCCAGGACTGTGGGGCCAGGGTCCACAGCCCCTGCCCCACACAGTAGCACCTGAGCCCTGGCTGCGAAGCGGAACATGAAGCCCGGGTTCCCCTCCCCTGCAGGTGGCATGGCCAGAACGGAACCTGGGGTGGGAGGCAGTGGTGGGTGCAGGCTGCTTGCTGCAGGCTCAGGCTCTCCGCCATGCTGCCCTGCCCCTGGGGCTTCTGTGGCCCAGCATGTGGGACCCAGTGCAGAGGGCAGAGTGGGGCTGGGTGGGGAAGCTCCTTGCCACTGGAAGTCCGGTGCTGCCTTGGCGAGGTACCCTGTGTCTGCCTGGCAGCAATGAGGGACACAACTCCATGCCAATGGTCCTACTGTAGCTGGGTGGACAGGGGGTGCCTCACCAGGGGGCAGGGCTGCAGCCCCAAGGCATTTCCCCACCTGGCCCTGCTCTGCCTTCCATACCGGATCCTGCCTGCTTAGCGGTGGAGGCCCCAGGGGGAAGGCAGTGGGGTGGGAAGCCCAAGCCAGCAGTGGGCACCTGCCCTCACCCCATGCACAGATCTGTGGGGCATGTTTCCCCCCGTTCCTTTCAGGCGTATATGCGCTGGCGGGGAGCTAGCCCCACTTGCCACTTGTACGAGCCATCTGTGTCCCTGTCCCACTCTCCGCCCAGGCCGTGCAGCCCTGCATTCTGGCCCCAGGCCCCAAGTCTTGCACACCGCCTTGCCGGCCAGGAGCCCTAGCCCTGTCCTGCCCAACTCTGTAGGGACCTCAGTCCTCCTTTCTCCCACCAGCCTTATCTGTGGGAGCTGCTCTGCCAGCTGCCTGGTGGACACGTGCATGCACACCTGTGCACAGGCACACGGCATCCACCTGCCTGACTACCCTGCTCCCGCTCCCCCAGCTTCTTGCAGGCTGGAACTCTGCCAGCCTGCAGAGACCTCTGCAAAAGTTTAAAATGCATGTGTTTGCATTAAAATGAGAAATTCACATTTTTCTCAGTTAAAAGGACAAACTACAGTTTTTTCCTGTTTTCCATGGATCAAACCCGGATCCCTGATCATTACTGTAGACTGAGGCGAGAAACAGCTCTATTCTCTTTTTGGAATTACCCAGTTGTCTCTGGGCGTCTGAATATTTGCCTTTAATACCTTGACAGTTTAATATCATAGGCTTGCTTTTAGGAATCTACTTAAAATTTTTTTTTTAAGGGGGTTTAACCCCAGATGTGTATTGCCTCCTTTGCCTCTTTTTTTGTTTAGTTTTATTTTACATTTGATAGTTGTTAGCTAATTTTTAGCCAACTAATTCTTAGACATGTTAGTAATACTGAACAGTTTTACAGAGTTACAGAATACCATCAAAGTGTGTCTGTGTGTATGGTAGGACTTGCTCAAAAATCACAAAGGAGGTATGGTGTGGAAGATGGACTGTGGGCTCTGTCACTTCATTTTTCAAAATTAAAAAGATAATGTCATGTCTGGTATTAGAAGACACTCTGGGGAGAGAAGTGTGATTAGCTTATTTCTTCTCTTGGAAGTTGTTTAATCCCTGTATTGTTAGTTGCTATTACTCTCTCTTTTTTTTCTGCTGCATGTTACTATACACATTGTTTTTATTATATTGCAAGATACATTGATGCATATTATTCCATCATCAGACCTCAGTACTACAAAATAATTGAAGAATGCATTTCACAAATCGTACTGCACTGCAGTGGTATGGACCCAGATTTTATATGTAGAGGAAGATTGGATGTAGATTTTACTCACCTTATTGGTATGTAAATGTGAAATAATTTGTCATCTTGGCCTTTTATTCCTTAAAATATTCTGTTACAGTCTGTAAGATATTCTTTGCTTATGTCTGCTTTTGACATGCAAAATCCTCCTTATGTGGTATTGGGAACCTGTAACACTTTTTTTTTTCAATTTCTGTGGGCCCTGTGCTAAGTTTTTAATCGTATTTTTTAAGTTTCTAATCATATTTTTAAAGAGGTTACAGAATTTAACTCTCCATAGATGTAGTTCACTAATTAAGGATGTACAGTTGATCTTAATTTGGTTCCTTTCTATATATACTTTGCTTACATGACTGCCTTCAGTTGCTGCAGTTCACAACATGACAAAGAAATTGGCACAAGTAAGTTAGCAGTAGCAAGACCCAAAATTTAGATTATCAAATCATTGGTTGGATGGATGGATGGATAGATATGTTAATGTCGATTCTATCGCCGATAATAAGTTTCTAAGCTGGATATGCTAGTAAATAAACTTATTTATTTTGTATTTGCTATAATCAAATGAAAAGGTATACGGAAGTCTAATGTCAAGTTAAGCAGGTGTTGGGTGTGGGTTCACATGCTGCTTGTCTAGACGTGAGAAACACATAGGAAGTGTGTGATCTGATTCAAAAAGGAGGAAGTAATTGAATCCTTCTGAACAAAAGTGGTAACTCAGGTGGCAGGTGTACACAGGAGATGTAGATAAATGGTTAACTTTGGATTCCTTTCTGGGTTCTGTTTAGATTGTGACTCTTTCTCTCAAATGTGAAGTATTTTCCCTTTTACCAAGGGTGTATACACAAATGAATGTTAAGGATGTTACAGAAAAATAATCAAGTGACTTTTCTTCTTTTGTAGCTCTTTATAGGTTTTTAGTCCAACTAATGCAATGTGTGTGTTTTCTGTTTAGCTTAGTGTATTTAAAAAGTCACATTTATCTTTTAGATTTGCAGTGAAAGATTATGCAGAAATCTAAGGATATTTTTTACAGTTCTGAGGTTTATCTCAAGGAGCAGTTTAAGGAAATTGCTAAGGTTTTAGACTCTAGAAATCCTTGCATTTTTATTTTAGCTTAGCCCCTCATTTGCTGAGTGATTTAAGCAAGATACTAACTAGGCTATGCATCAGTTTCCCTACCTGTAAAGTTGGGAGAACAGTGTTTACTTCTAAAGCGTGCTAACATATACTGATCAAAACTGCTGTACAGTAATATTACTCTAAGGTTTTACTGACTTAAAACTTTTCATATTTGTTTTTTAATGCTTTGAAAGGTCATCTTTAGTTGAAACAATAAAGCATCATTTTCTTTTTCAGAAGTAAAAGGGGGCTTTCAGAAGCACCATCCCCAGAAGAAATCTGTATGCTTATGCAAAAACACTTGATTGGCAAGGTTTTTATCTGGATTACAAGTCCAATAAAATATGCCAGATCAAGGAAAAACAAAGGTTGCTACACATGTGATCTGGTGTTTCTAGGACTGGACAAAAAAAAGACCAAAGCATAGTGTACTTGATATCAGAGAATATTAGAACTTAAACTTACTATAATATGCATGCACTTGGCTGAGGAGGAGCTAGAATCTTTGCGTGCCTATACACATGCCTGTACCCTGTTTCGATATGCTAATCAGTACACATTGGAGCAGACTTGATTAATCTGCTAATGAATTCTGATTTATTTACACGCTCCAGCAGCCTCGGCTTTTCGTGTATTTGGCTTTTTGTGTATTTCGTGTATTTGAAACGTTTCGTGTTTCAAAATGGTGGCAGGGGCACTTTTAATTGAAGCTTATTCAACAAGCTTTAGTTAAAGCCTCTCAGGTACACTGAATACACAAGATGGTGCGTGTGCTTTAATTAAAACACTGCCCCCCCCCCCCCTTCCAGAGCACATGTAAAGACACCCTTTAGAGCTAAACCTTTTCAAAATAACTAATTGCTTAACAGACACAAGGAAGCTATCAGTATTCAGGAAACCTTTTGTGTGAATTTTTTTTGGTAAGACCTGGAATGGAGAGTAAAAATATGCAGTTGAAACAGTTAAATGCAACTTTAAATATCTAAATGTTTGTGTGTTTACCATTTTTTAGCATTGCCTGTCTTAATCAACTGTGCCAGTAATTTTGTCTATTTTAGATGTGTGTGTAGACAAAGCAAAAGTGGAAGAAAGTGAACAGAAGGCAGCAGAATTTTCTAAAAAGGTAAGATTATATATCATTAATTTATAAAGAAATGGAAATCTATGCTAAGAACCTTTATCAAAATGCTTTATCTTATTTCTTTACATGACAGTAATTGATTTCTGATTATGTTCAATACTTGACATTGTTACTGCATAATTTGTAATACTATTGAAAGGGTTGATATTTATAGATCAGCTCTTGTGGTTTTAGTTGTTGACTTAAGTTATTTGCAGGTAACAAGAAAATTTATAACCATGAAGATTAACAGTAGTTTACCTAAACTCTTTGTATTATACTAATTCAGAAAATAGAATTTAAAGGCCTAGTTGTTCAAATATTTGAACAAGTATCAAGTAAACAATAAGACATACAAAAAAACTATACTTCTTGGTTCCACAATACCTTTTATTAGACAAAACTGGGAAATAGCAAGAAAATTGTCCTTTTCTGCAAGCTTTCAGGATCAATGATTTTAAACTTCATTGCAGAACAACAAAAAAAATTTTTTTTTTTTTTTACCTCCCTGCTTGCCATCTGACACCTCCAGGGAAGGAATTCTATCTGATCTACACATCAAAGAGCTACTCAGCGCAGCTTACAAAGACACTCTCATGGACCCAGAGGGACAGCCTTCCATCTTCAACTCCCTCTGTGCAAAAATGAAGTTTATTTCCTACCTATGGGGACTTTTACCATCCTGTA